GGGTTCACGCCATTCTCCTGCCTCAGCCTCCCGAGAAGCTGGGACTACAGGCACCAGCCACCAGGCCCGGCTAATTTTTTTGTATTTTTTAGTAGAGACGGGGTTTCACTGTGTTAGCCAGGATGGCCTCAATCTCCTGACCTCGTGATCCGCCCGCCTTGGCCTCCCAAAGTGCTCTTTTCTTTCTAATGGAAAGAAATTGGTTTTATTCTTTAAACACTTGGTTCATTTATGTAGGGAAGGTTGGTTTGTTTGTATGTATTTTGTTTTCTCCAACAACATAATTTTCTATAATGGCAGAAAACAGTACAACATTCAGTTATTATAAATTATGAAGCCTTTCTGAGACCAACAGGACTGTGCTAAATTATCAGGGCTGCCTTGGGCCAGGCAATCTCCACTTATTTGCGAACAACCTTAATTTCACTTCCAGCTGCAGAGACGTTCTGGCCTGTGTCTCCTAGGTATCTGGGTGAGATTTTCTAGGATGAATTCCTAGCAATGGAATGCTGGGTCATATCTCCATCTTGTAGTTTCCGCCCTGGTTTGACGAGAAGGATTGGATGTAGATTATTCTCAAGGACTTTGGTTTTGTATTGACTAGTGGGTTCCTGGGTGTTCATCACATTTAAAAGTAAACTAATTAACTGAGCAATTCACAAAATAACAATGGACCATAATGGCTCCATAATGCCAGAGTGTTGTAATCTAACAATTATACTTCATCTACTTCCACATGACTGAGCTCCAAAGGAAAAAAAGAAATAGAAATCATGATGATGTCCTATTTGTAATCCTGAAGTTAGGTACTTAGTTGGAGCGACACGGGCAACCCACCTAAGGCATGGCTTGTCTCCCAACTTGGAAAACTTGTCTTATGTCCCCTACTTAGCTTTCCAACGGGGGTCTATACGTTTTCCTCCCGCTGGCAGTGGTTGAGAGTTCTGGGTACCCTGTATCCTTGCCAGTGTTTGGAATTGTTTTCTTATTCCTTCTGCATCCATCTGAGTCTCTCATATTCAGGGGTGACTTTACCTTTCTCCCCTTAATGTGTCCAAGAATCTGTCATTCCAGGCAAGAGCTGGAGAAATGAACTGCTTAGAAACAAGAGCACTTACCCCACAGTCAAAGCAGTTGAAGGAAGAGTGGAAGTAAGGCCGCGTCCCAAGCCCGTACATTTTTATAAACATTTCGGACATAAAGAGTCCTAAGAAAATGAATTCTGCATAGTCTAGAAGGGAGAAGGAGGAAACAGAGAGGAGGTTAGGCTTGCTGAGGGTAGGGGTTCCAGGTGGCTCTGACTTTTCTTTTATTATCATTTTTTAACTTTTTATTTTTTGTAGAGATGAGGTCTTGCTATGCTGTTAGGCTGGTTTCAAACTCCTGGCCTCAAATAGTTTCCCCAATTTGGCCTCCAATATGCTAGAACTACAGGTATGTGTCACCATACCCAACTTCTGACTTATCTTTTTTCTTTTAAAAATTTTTATGTGGAGATGGGGGTCTCAATGTGTTGCCCAGGCTGGTCTTGAACTCCTGGCCTCATGTGATCCTCCCAGCTCAGTCTCCCAAAGCGCTGGGATTATAGACATGAACCACTGTGCCCACGCCCTGTCCAAGGTGTCCTTCCCATGGGCCTCAGTTTCCGCTGTTAAAAAAGAAGAGCTGGCTGGGCATGGTGGCTCACGTCTGTAATCCCAGCACTTTGGGAGGCCTAGGTGGGCAGATCAACTGAGGTCAGGAGTTTGAGACCAGCCTGGCTAACATGGCAAACCCCATCTCTACTAAAAATATAAAAATTAGCCAGTGTGGTGACACATGCCTGTAAACCCAGCTACTACTTGGGAGGCTGAGGCATGAGAATCACTTGAACCTGGGAGGTGGAGGTTGCAGTGAGCCAAGATTGGGCCACGGTACTATAGCCTGGGTGACAGAGCAAGACCCTGACTAAAAAAAAAAAAAAAAAGAAGAGCAATAATTGTGCCCTCCTACTCTCCAACCAACAAGCCAACCAACGTCAGGCCAATTTTAAAAGGAATGAGAAAAAGTTCTGTGGGTCTCCATCTTGTAGTTTTTGCCCTGGTTTGATGAGAAGGACTGGATGTAGATTATTGCCAAGGACTTAGCTTTTGTGTTGACTGGTGGGTTCCTGGGTGTTTATGATATTTAAAAAATAAACTAATTAACTGAATAATTCACATAATAACAATGGACCATAATAGCCCCATAATGCCAGGGTACTATGATCTGACAATTATACTTATTCTACTTCTACGTGACTGGGCTCCAAAGGAAAAAAGGAAATAGAAATCATAATGATATCCTATTTGTAATCCTGAAGTTAAGTACTTAGTTGGAGAGACACAGGCAACCCACCTAAGGCATGGCTTTTCTCTCAACTTGGAAAACTTGTCTTATGTACCCTAGAAATCCTGTGTTGTGAGTGATCTAAAAGTCTTGAGTAAGACAAAGTCTTTCGTTCTTTGATGAGCAAGCATAAAAGTGCAAATGCCTCAGGGAGGGGTAAAACATGGATATGTATTTGCTCCAGCAAATAAATGGCTGACATCAGATCCTTTTCTGAGAGGGTTTTCTTGGTGGGGTAGGAAGATGAGGATTTAGGAAGGGCGTGGGTACTTACTTAATGGATAGAAAGGAGAGATGAGGAGGGTTTCTGAGGAGCAGAAAGCATACAGAAAGGAAAGAGACAGAGGATTGAAACTAACTTCCATGAATTTCATATAGCTAATTAAGGCCACAAAACTAATTGTGTTTGGTGGTTGTGATGGTTTAAATGTTTGTGTCCCCTCCAACATTTATGTTGAAACTTAATTGCCAATGTAACAGTATTAAGAGGTGGGGCCTTCAGGAGGTGATTAGGTCATGACAGTAGAGCTCTCATGAATGGGATTAGGTGCCCTTATAAAAAAGCTTGACAGAGGAAGTTTGTCCCTCTTGCTCCTCCATCTTCTGCCATATGAGGACCCACTGTTTCTCCCTTCCAGAGGATACAGTGTTCAAGGTACAATCTTGGAAGCAGAGAGCAGCCTTCACCATTCAAGGAAACCTGCCAATGCCTTGATCTTGGACTTCCCAGCCTCTAGAACTGTGAGAAAATAAATTTCTGTTCTTATCAAATTACCCAGTCTCAGGTAATTTGTTACAGCAGCACAAATGAACTAAGACATTTGTCAAGGGTGTTTCCTATATCACGCTTTTAAGAGGTGTTTTGAACTAACCGTCAAAGTCCTTCACACTTATTTATCACCAAAATTTCTCCTTATTTATAGGACACTAAGGAGATCCTAGTGTCTGAGGGGAACTCTAAGGCTCCTAGGACAAAAATATCAGCAAAGGAAGTCTGTTTGTAACATCTGATACATTCCAAGACCCACCAGAAGTAACTCTATGAGGACTGAAGAGTTTTTGAGATCTTGTTCCTCAGTTACCATGGAAACATGATAGCAAGTGATGCACAAGACTTGAAAGAATTACTTATCCTTAGCATTGTTGGATCTGGAAGAACTTTCAGGACCATCAAATCCAGTTTCCACCACATAGTTGTAGAGTCTGAGACCCAGAGAAACAACTACACCTCATTGATCCCAAGACGTACATTTTTGTTCACATTTTGACATCTCTGAAATTAATGTGTATCTTTTTTTTTTTTTTTTTTTTGAGATGGTGTCTAGCTCTGTTGCCCAGGCTGGAGTGCAGTGGCACGATCTCGGCTCACTGCAACCTCTGCCTCTCGGGTTCAAGCGATTCTCCTGTCTCAGCCTTCCAAGTAGCTGGGATTACAGGTACCTCCCATCATGCCCAGCTAATGTGTGACCCTGGGCAATCTACTTAACCTCTCTGTGTCTCAGTTTTCTCAAATGGAAAGTAGGAATGAGTAAAGGACCTTTATAGACACTGAGGGCCCAGGCAGGAAGTCTCAGTCCCTTGTTCCTGAACCAGGACAGACTGTACAAGATCATTAGTGGAGAGAATATAGGAGATTAAAAATAGAGTATTAGAGGAAGTTAAAACAAGAAGTAGAGTCCTCATTTATAAGAGACTCCAGAGGGACTAAAAACAATTACTAAGTTTGAAACTAGGTCAGGGCCCTGGGAAGGAGAACTGGTTCCTGAGGGGTGTCCTGGGGGGTCAGCCAATGTGACTGGGAACAAGGAGGGTTATAAGAAGACAATGGCCTGGACTAGGCTCATGGGCCTTTCTAGGTCAAAGACTAGACTGTCTCTTCTTGCTGTCCTAAGTCAATTCTGAACCAGGTCAGAAGGGCAGTGAAAGCCAGTAGGCAAAAGACGTTTTGGGAAGTCCTTACTTGGGACCTGCAAGCCAAAGCCAGGGCATCCACCTGCCCGCCTCACTGCCCAATCACTACTCTTTTAATTTAATTTAATTTAATTTAATTTATTTTTTTGAGACAGAGTCTCTCTCTGCTGCTCAGGCTGGAGTGCAGTGGCGCGATCTCCGCTCACTGCAAGCTCTGCCACCTCCTGGGTTCACGCCATTCTCCTGCCTCAGCCTCCCGAGAAGCTGGGACTACAGGCACCAGCCACCAGGCCCGGCTAATTTTTTTGTATTTTTTAGTAG